GGGCTGGGTTACAGCAGCCATATCCCTGCGGGAAGGAACCTCCTGGCTCCTCTGTGCCTCTATGTCCCCTCTGGCATCCAGCAGTGCCAAGCAGGCCAGCATCCCTGGTCGTCTTTTGGGAGCAGAACTCCTACCAGGAGCTGCTGGAATGCTGGGGTCCCTCTGCAAGACTGCTCCTCCCAAGGCAGGGCCACTCCAGTGGGGCTGCAAACCCACAAGATAGACTCTTCTTTCACTGCATATTTTCATGTGCTTTAAGGTTTAGCTCAGGCAGGACTATTAAATCTTCAGAATTTCAGGCCTATATTCAGAAAAATAGAAATGTTATGTTGTTTGGCAGCCTCTTTTATCATCCCTGTCTATTTTCTAACATGATGCTCACAGCTTTTTAAGAGGTTCATCTGCAGGAGGTTGTGTTCTGTGCTGCTGCTGGTAGTCAGGTGAAAAGGTAGTTAAAAAGGTATTTTGAGAGAGGTAGAAATAGCTGTCCCCTCCAAAGAGAGTTAATTGCAGTGGTGATTGCACACCACACAAGAAGAGGAAGATGTTCAGGAAGTCTCATGGCAGCAATGTCCTCTTGAGGTCAGAGAAGCAGCAAGTAAAGAGTCCCACAAGTGTGGCTTTCCAGGACAGCTTGGGAGAAGCCCTGAGCTCTGTGCTTTCCGAATGTCACTGTGCCACTTGAGCATTGCTGTAGTTTTTTACAGGATGAAACACTAAACATGTCAGTCTGTTAGGACCCCTGCATGATCCATTTCAGGAACACCTCCTGGGTGCTCACAGCTTTGCTTGCTGTTTGCAGCAGCTCTGTCAGGCATGTCCTGCACATCTCCTGGGAGCCTCAGAGCTGCAGGGGACATCTGAAATGCTCCTGATTCAGAGGATGGAGAGACATTGCAAAGTCAGTGCACCTACATATGTCTCCAAAGAGAAATGCTGAATAAAAAGCCACCTTGATGTGCTCTTGAAGGCAAAAGCCTTCTAATGCAGCCTGTGCCCATGATTTATAACAATGACTCATAACATTGCATTATACTTAATATGATGTAACGCTGATGCAAGATGCCATTCGTGGAATTTCAATGTCACAAGGAAAAAGAGAGGAGAGAGTAGTCTGGTCATGTACCCTGACATGTTATCAGAATGAAATGTTTACAGCCAGAATGTGTAGAGCCTTTCAGTATCTACTTCACTATTTTTTAGCAGGATAACCTGGAGAATAACATTTTTATTTCCTGGCGCATAAATATCTCTCAGACATACATTATTGTGTTACTTACAGTAATTTAATCAACTTCATATTTGAGAAGACAAATTTGCTAACAGACAATTCAGTCTTGCAATTATACCCCCTCACATGGAAGTTTGCAGGGCAAATCAGGATTATGCCTTTAAATTAATTGAAGCTTTATCTCCCTTTTCTGACCCAGCTGTTATGAATTCTCCTCCTGTTCTCGCTGTACTGCTTGCTCCTTCCTGCAGTGAATCAGCATTTCAGGAAACACTGATTCAAAGAGGAAAGACACCCTAAACTCTGCTTCTGAAGGTCAGGAATTGGTGCTCTCCAGTAGATTTGACAAATGAGGTGAGGCTCTGGGGCTGCTCCGGGCCACTTTGGTGGGGTGTTTGTGACCCCTGCTCAGAACTCTGCTCCTGCCCTTCCAGCAGCCCCAGGGACTTGTGCTACGCAAGTGAGTCCTGCTGGATTCACCCAGACAGGCAGAGAAACAGAGTCAGAGCCTGTCCCTCAGCGTGAGGAAAGCTGCCCCCGGCTGCAGGAGCCACGGGCACCCCTGGCTGGATTTGTGGTGGGGAGCAGCTGGGAATGGCTTGTGTCGCCCATGCTGTTCCCAGGGCTGCTCCCTGCTGCTCCGTGCTGCACAGGGGTTTTCCAAGCACTGCATGCCCCAGGCTGCTCAGCAAAGGAACAGGGATGTTCTCCACCTATGACCCCTGAAATCCTCCTCATCTGGCACCCTCAGTTGTCTCATTTCCAGCAAGAGCTGACAGATTGTAGAACCACAGAATGTCCTGAGCTGAAAGGGATCACCCAGCCCAAGCCCCAGCCCTGCACAGACACCCCAACAATCCCATCCTGGGCATCCCTGAGAGTACTGTCCCAAGGCTCCTGGAGCTCTGGTAGCCATGGGGCTGTGCCCTATTCCCTGGATAACTGTACAGACAGCTCCTGCTCTGACAGAGCTCTGTGTTCAGGATGTTTGGAGACTGCTGCTGGCACCCCAGGGAGCACAGAGACATTCCCTGGGTAAAACAGGACTCTGAGAGGCTGAAAAGCCTTGAACTGCGATCTCCAGAAATCCTGGATCAGGCTTTTCCTGGTGGTTCTCTGTGGTTCATACCCTGAAGTCCCTTCTATGCCCAGTGCTCCCAGTAAGCCCAGAACACCATTTTCACCTGGTGAGATGGGATGGATGGTTTTATCAGTGGTTCTCAAAAAGACAAATCAATATTGATAGATCTGTGGTTTCCTAGAGTGCATCCTGAACCACCTGCAGCAGTTGTCACCTTGAAGAAGGACCTTGTCACAGGTGAGCACCAGGTGAGTGGGCACAGCACAGTTTCACACTGCAAGACCAAAGAAGTGGAGAGGACTGACTTTTGAACAGCATAGCAGTGCCTACAGGTGGTGGTAAGAAATCAATAAGAATTGATTTATTTTTGGAAGCCTGGTAGGTGCCAATGTGTCTCCTAAGTGCATAAATATCATCAAAACCTAGGCATGGGCAAGTGAAACAAGACAAGAATTTGTAGCCCAGAAGAAAGCCACCATGAATAGATTGTGTGGAGGCTGATAAGATCCATACTGCTCCAAAATGGAGAGTTCCACCTCACAACAAGCTTGTCTTTGTTGTGGAAGAGTCAGGTTGTGAGAGTCCTGTCGTGCCAAATACCTGCCTCCCCTGACAATTGTCTTTAAATACTGTGATCTTTCACACAGGAGCAAAGCCTGAAAGAAATCTCCCTAGCAAAAACATCATTTATTTATTCTCTACAGGGCAGTGGAGCAGCAAGCCTCTCCTCAGTCCAATTACTCTTTCTCTCCCCTGAAGCTTTCAAGCAGAGATTTGTTCCAACAAAGATGGGTAATTTTGCTCTGTGAGGGATGCAGGAAGAAGAGCAGAGATATCTCTAGATCAGAGCAGTTCCTGAGCCTGCTGGAGAAATGGCAGATGGCCAGAGATAGCACAAACCGCTGCTCTCCCAGATAACAATGTGGAGAGCTGAACCTTTCAGGTACGAACTTTCAGGACTGCAAATTGTGCACAGAAAGGTGAGAAACACAAGGAGCTTCACGGGGAGGATGGGGAGGCTCCTGGAGCCGGCCTTCCCACAGCCACCTCCAGCACCAATTGCCCTCCTCCGCCCTAGGTCCATACCTGGGGGACAACCGAAGCAAAACATGCTTTTTTATTTGTCTATATTTTGAGCTTCTCTTTGGGGAAAAATTTCTGGCCAGTAGGCAGTTCCAGCCATGCTTGCAGTCTAGTGTGGGCTGGTGTGTCATTTCCTGGGAATCTTTTACTGCCAGCATCCATCAAATACAAGCAGACCTTTCAAGGAAGTAGCTTTGCCACAAAGGTGAAACTCCTCTGCTGGTTTTTGTTTCACTGGGTCCATGCTTGTGCAGCAGAGCAGACTGTGGACGTTGGTGTTTTTTACCAAGCCTTTCAGAATGTGCCTTCATGCTACCAGAAGCTAAGTAATAAAGATCTCAGAATCATTTGTCTAGCAAATACTAATGCTCAGTCCTTGAGTTATTCTCAGAATTCAGGGTTCATTTTGCCAGTGTTGAGGTTTTCACCCCACAGAGCCAGACACCGGCATTTCGGATACTACACAGAGCAAAACTCAGAATATCACCTAAAAAACTCCAACAGCAGCATTAAATTAAAGAAGGGTTAGGCTTTTGTTTGGGGTGGAAATGGCTTTTCTTCAATACAATCTGCCTGGCTCCAGCATAACTAGAGATGTCTCAGAGCCTACAGGTAATTACCACAGCAAAAATAGCATCCACAAATTAACTGCTGTTCCCAACTTCCTTCTCCCATTTGCCTCCAAGTCACACTCACATGATGCTGGAATCAGGACTATTGCACAGGAGGAAGTAAAAGGAGAGCTGAAGAAACAGGGATTGACATCCCTGGGAGATGGGATTCAGCAGAACTCCTGCAGGGAGAGCCCTGCTGGGCTGTGCAGGGGTGTGGGGAGCACACAGACACCCCTGGCTATTCCAGCTCTAGAATTGGAGCCATAGCCCCACTGGAACTGCCTGGGAATGCCTGGCCCTGACTGCAGGGACCTGGGGAGCACAGCTCAGACCAGGCTGGGTCCTGTGCCTGCCCCAGCTGTTGCTGCAGATCAGGAACACGGCCAAGGCAGCAAACCCAGGGTGTTCAGTGCCTGGGATCCCCAGCAGACCTGTGTGTGGGAGCTGCTGGAGTCCTGCCTTCCCCCATGCTGCCTCTGCAGCAGCTGCTCTAGGTCCAAAGGATGGGATGGCTGGGAATGCTGCTGTGCTGACCCCAAATCCGTGTCACAGTGTGACCATGGAGTGACAGGGACTCAGCCTGGGGTCCTGCTGCTGAAGCCTTTTCCTCCTTGCAGGGACAGCTGTCGCACAAAGAGAGAGGTTTGAACAGTGGGGTTGAAAATGATCCCTTTCCAACTGAGTGAGACGTTCATGTCTGAACCTGACGAGACTCCTGCTCACCCACACAGTAGCAGGCAGCTTTTTACCAGAAGTACTGTCTGACTTCCCAGATAAAACGTTTGATTTTTTTTTTCCTTTTTCACAGCTGCAAAGGGTAACATTTAGAAAAACGTTTGACGAGCAGATGGTCCAACAACCTGCAGAGGTGCCTACTTGTCTACTGTGAACAATGCTAGCATGGCAGCCCCGTGATTCTCCCGCTCTGCAGGGCACCAAAGCCCATCCCAACCCCGGGACAGGCACAGGGACAGCGCGGCCACTCACTCACCTTGCGCCCAGCTTCGTTGTTGTGCAGGTTCATGAGCGTCCTGGCATTCTGCTTGATCTCCCGGGCATCCACAAAAACCTTGGCGAAGCCGATGCCGTAGCGGATGTCGGCGGAGCAGCCGCCCCATTTCCAGCCTTCCTCCTTGTGGTACTGGCCCTGCTTCTCCTTGTCGCAGCCGCAGTCGCTGAGGTTGCCCTGCGTGCAGGCCGCTGTGATGGCGTGGGCCACGCCGGCCGCGATGATGGCGTAGGTGAAGGCGGCCTCCCTGCTCCCTGCAAGGCAGAACAGGCCGTGAGCAGCGGGCAGGCCACGGCGAGGGGAACGGGCAGCTCCTGTGGGCAAACAGCACCGGCTGCTCTTGGGCACGCTGTAAATCTGCACCACGAACAGGGCTCTGCTCCTCCCAGTACTGCTCTGGTGGTACTCGTCTCTAAAGCAATGGCTCTCCATGAGGCAGGGAGAGGTTGAATGCTGTTTAGGCTGATGTCTGAGGATTTTAGCTTTTATGTTTCAAATCCTGGACTGCATTCGTGCATAACTCTAAACTCTATATAGAGTGCTAGTTACTGTCTTCACATTTTGGTCAGACAAAGCAATCCCTCTATGCCTGAAACTCAAGGACACCCTACAGCCTCAGGCCCCGAAAAGTATAAACAAAAGTGAGTTGGGGGGGAGCAAACTGGGGGTGAACGACTTCATTACCTGCAGCTGTAATTGGAGGATTAACCCCTGATATGTAAATGGGCCAAACTTATAATTGTGTGATAAACTCGTGACCATTGTCTACCTTGGGTGCAGCCTCTGGGAGTCTCTGACTGCCCAAGCTGTGCCTATGGAAGGCCTTCAATAAATCCCCACTTTATTCTCTTAACCTTGTCTAGTGTCTGTTCTAGGGAGCTGCTCCAAGGCATCAAGGCAGCTTCATCTCTATATTCCAGATGCTATTAGAAGTAGGCAAACTAAACTTGAAGCAAAAGGGTGGGGTGGCAAATGTGGACGTCAAAAACAAAGAAAGAAAGGAAAACAAAATAGTCGGGCTTGGGGGTTAAATTGTTAGAACATCCATATTCAACCTTTTAAAAATTCAACTTAGAAATAGGATTTTTTATTTAAATAATTCTACACTAAATGGCTTTTTAACAGGACGACTGCTTCTGTTGGACTCTTGTTCTGAAAGCATTTTAACTCAACTGGGACTTTTTTCACACTGTAGGTGTCAAAAAGTTTTGACATCTGTGCTGGCTCAAAGAAATAAGTCTTGGGTTTAATTTCAAAATTTCTCATAAAATGAATAAAAAATCCTGACCTGTTGTAGGCACCATGACAACAGCAAGGTGAAGTAAGAGCCTTACCAGAGGGCTGTGAGACAGAAGTCAGGCCAATATTACTTTGTGCAATAAGGCCATAATGACAGGTTTCTGTTCCTTGAGGGGGGTGGGGTGTCTCACTTTAAATCTAAGATTTAATTTCTTTTTTTGAAGTTTTGTTGCATTCTGGTGTGTGAATTTCCCACACATGGCCCTTATAGGCTCTGTGAGACTTTTGGGGCCAGTTCAGCTGAGAGAGGGCCCTTCATAGCCTGAGGAGGTTTGCAGAGGTTGCCCATGTATATCAAACGGCCCTTAAAAATTTTTGGATCTCCCAAACCGAGAACTTGCCCTACTCTTATTTCTCCAATGACAAAATGCACCCTTGGATAGAATAAGAATCAGGCTCTTAATTAGGGGAGTGCAGATGGGAAGTTCCACTTCCCTTCTCCAAGTGCCCCTCAGTTGAGTCCTGGCAGACCTCAGCTGCTGGCAAGTTTGTTACCCGTGAAACAAGCCCATTTCTGCTGGTTATTGCATTTCACAAAAAAATCGTCACTTGGGGAAAAAAACCTTACTACAATCCAGCCTTAGCTGCATCCCTTTCATGTAACATGATTTGGATTTCTCTACTTGTCGCTTTTAATGATAAGTGTTCACTTCCTTATGTTGAGGAAGTAAAATGGAAAACAAGATGACATTATCACAATCTGTTAATAGTCAACTTCATGCCCTCTGTTAGCAAAGGCAGTATTCCCTAACACTGCTACATGCTGCATTTATTATGGAGCTTACAGTCAATTATCAGACTTCCTCAAAGGTTTCCTTGTTTCTCCTTACTTAAAAAAAAATCATAAAATTATTCATTTTGACTGCGGAAATTGCAGTTAGATCTCTCTAGAACTCTTGGCTTTTTATAAAAATCTGAGCATGGAAGAGAAATCTCAGGCTTTAGGTGTATTTGGAGTTGAGCTCCTCCTCCAGTTTACACTCATCAACACCCTCACTATTTTAAGCACAACACTATGAAAAAGGCATTGATAAACAGTGTACAATAAGAGTCCCACTTTATCTCTCAGAGGGCAGCAACGAAACACCAGGTTTCTGTTCCACGAAGCAGCAAATGGGACATTGTCAAAGAAATATTTTTTTAGTTGAATTTACATGTGGATCCTTTTTCCTTTTGATTTTGATCAGATTACTTTTGTTGAGCATGAGTTATTTTCAAGATCTAGAACAAAAACCGCTGGGAGCTCACTTGAACCTGACATACTCAGTATTGTAGAGGCTGAGCAGCTCTTTTGCTTTTTAGAGGGGATAAGAATGCAGTGCAGAAAATATAAAATTAGTCAGTATAAGCAGAGTCAGAAGCCAGTGTCAAGCTAGATCATAAATTACATTACATAAATTATAAGTTTGTCTTATTTGGGAGAAAATCTTAGCAGCTTTTAAAAACTCAAATTTTGGAGATTACAAGGTAAACAAAGCAAGTGCCTAGAAGAATTGACTCAGGTAGGAAGTGCCTTGGCACTTGTGCAGTGGTGATAAAGTGATGTGGGTTTGTCACGTCTGCATCCAACTGTTCCTGTTTTTCATAAATGATTGACTTTTTAAAGTCTCATTACCCTGGCCTGGCTCACAGAAATGCCAGCATGGGAGGGAAGCTCAGACTAGCCTGAGTCTCTTCTGCAACAGTGCTTGAGGTCTCAGGGGTTTGTGCCCAAACAGGGTAACCTGAGCATGGGGGTGTTCCTGCCACTTTTAAGTAGAAATTCTGCTCTTTGGATTTCAGCAGAGAGTTGAAACTCCTGGAGGATGTGAGGGGAAAACGTGGCTGTACCAAGGTATGGCCAGGCAGCTGCTCCTATAGAAGTTAGACAAAGGTGGAGAGTCACCTGGCACAGAATCCCAAATGGGTTGGGTTGGCAGAGACCTCAAAGCTCCTCTCATTCCACCTGTGCCATGGGCAGAGACATTTCTACCACTCCAGGGTGCTCCAAGCCCTGTCCAACCTGCCCTGGATGTGTACAAGAATTAAAAGCCCTCCTTTCAGTTCCCAAATCACACATTCTTCTCCTTATCTCAGACAAACTATGGTAAACACTCCAGAGCTCAATTCCAGGCACTGGAACCTCCCGAGAAGGACCCGGCAACAGTCAGAGGTTGCTCTGGCCATTCAAAAGGCTGGTGACCTGAAGGGCTCCAGCCATGGCTCTGCTCCCTCACCCTCACCTGGGGCTCTTCCCAGCCCCAGCCAGTGCCTCAGTGCTATGTGACCACGAGGGCTTCTCTCCAAGTGTTGGACAGAAATATCTTCCTGCTTTTCCTGTGTTTTTCTGCACTTCAGTGAGGTGTGCAGCACATAGCAGCTCCGTTTGCTCTGATGGCAGAGAGCTTGGAGCTGATGGCTTCCAAAATTTCTGCAGGTACATCTGCTGACACTAGAGTCCTGTCTGCACAGCCTGCACTGGGCAGGGCACCTTCTCAGGCTGTCTGTACCTTTGTCTGTGAGCTCTGCATTGTCAGCCAACACCCTGGGGTGCCAGATGTCACAAGGGGAAGCATTGAGAGGGTCACAGGGGGTTGCAGACACAGGTATTTTACTAGGGCAGCTGCTCTCCTAACACTGAGCACAATTATACATAGCCCATGCACACCTTGGAGCTTTAATTCTGCAAACACTCCCTGCATGCCTCTGATTTTGGATGTGAATGTTTGCTAGACTGGGTTTGGGCTGACCAGCCTGTCTATCAGCTGCACAGACTGGTCTGCATTCTGGTTTTAATTTAGCTAACTTCATTTGGGTTTAAGTTCAATCTTTAAATTTGAAAACTTTGTAAAAACGTCTCTCATACAGATTAGAAATGGGAACTTATTTTTTAAAAGAAGTGCAATACCTTGATATTGCTTGGGAAACAAAGCCTAAGCCTGCAAAATGCAGAGTGGATTTATTTGCAGGAAGTCAGTAGGTGCTCAGCAGTTTGGGATCTAAGGGTGTTTCTAAACAGCCTGTCCCACCCTATCAGTCCCCCTCATAAATTGACTACGCTGTGAAATAAAAGAGAGACAAATTTCTGTTTATCTCACTGGAAAACATGGGTTGTATTTTCTGCTATTTAAAGCCAAAGGGTCAGAGGGGGAGTTATCTGCAGTGACATGAGCTGAAATATGATTGGGAAAATATAAAGATGGAAAACACAGTGTACCTTGCCAATTATGTGCCACAGCAAACATTACTCCTCATCTCTCTATAGAGGCCATAACTCACAGCCTGGAAAAATGTAGAATAGAATCCATCCCCTGCCTGCTCTGGGCTTTGCCTCCTCCTTCTTTGGTAGACTACGTATGGTCTAGCAGGTTTTTTTATTTTCATTTTTCTTTAACCTAGCATGAGTAATAAGAATAATACAATAACAATGGTAGCTTTAAAAACAATCATTGAAGTATTCTCTTCCTAATATTTTCTTCCCCTTCTGTTCAAAGTTTGGGGAATTGGTGCCTTAAAATATTGTACTCAGTTGAAAATAAAAAGATGGTTCCCTATAAAACAGCACTGTGGCTTTACAAAGATCAGTATAAATAAATAAAATACAGAGTGGCTTTAAGAAACATCGAAGACTCTGGGGGTTTAGCCGCTGCTCACTTTCACAAGCTAAAGTTCCTTTCACCAACACATGAAACTCTCGCAGAAGAAACACTTCAGCTAGAAGATACCCTCTTTAAATTTATAAAGCTACTACTCAAGGCATGTGCACTGCAAAAATCAGAGTCATTATTTTGGAGTTCAGCTAAGTCTCCCCTTTTGAGAGGGCTCTGAGCCCCCATGTCCCAGCCCTGCTGGGCAGCCCTGCACTGCCCCTGCCACAGGAAATCTCCCACCTTCCCAATCAGATGCAATCTTTCTGTTTCTCTGGAACAAGTACTCACAAGACACATCTGAAGCAGGTATGAAAACCTTGTGATGG